AAGAAATGGAAACACATTGAAGTTGGAATACAGGTGAGGGTAGCAGAGACTGCTGGTGTCCTTTAATATTTACTATTCCCTTCTTCCACAGAAATAAGACATTTAGTGTTTTGACTGATCACAAGGCTGACTTCCTTACTGATAGATATGGTCAGGTGACCAAGTTCTGACCAATGGGTGTAAATGGAATTATGTGCTGCTTCCAGAAACTGTCCTTAAGGAACATGATACCCCCTTTCTTCCTCCTTCCTCCTTTCTACTAGCTGGAATTCAGACAAGATAGCTGAAGCTTGAGCAGCCATCCTGGGCACCATTAGCTGGAAACCATATGCCATGGATGCTGTAATATCAGGAGAGAAGAAACCTGGGTCTCTGACCATTTCAAGGTGCTGCTCTACCAGTTATAGATTGCTTTCTTCTTGACTTTTATGTGGGAGGAATACATTTCTTTCTTTTTCAATGCATTATTATTTTGGGCTTTCTGTCCCTCACACAACCAGCCAATCCCAACTACTCTATGAGGGTTATTGAGTGGATGAGGTACAAGGACATATGCTGGAAACTAAATGTGGCTACACAGGAGTTGGATACGGAACTACACAGCCATTAACGGTCTCTCCTGACCCATGAGGTCTTTTGTCTCTGAGCTTCCCTGTGAGTGTGCTCCTCTTGCTTCTCTACAGAGGTGAACTTCCTCTGCTTGCTCATCAGCAAGGCTGAAAACAGCTATTCAAGTCCTTAGCCTATGTGACTTTTTAGATTGTCATTTCTATCTTTGTATCTCTTAGTTCAAATTTTTGAAAGAGACAATTGTTTGTTGCTCACTGAATAGGCTGTGCCTGCCTCTTCAGAGTTACCTGTATTTTCCCCATTCAGTCAGCTGTACATGGAATAACGTTGAAAGTAGGGGTACAAATATGGCCTCTGAGGGCCTACTCTTTAAGCAAGATTTGGCAGAGAAATGCAAGTTCCAGAGAAGAAGCTATAAGCTAGGAGAGCAATATAAAATGAGTCTACGGTTTAAGACCAATGCATTCCAGTTGTCTAGTGAACAACTCAGCTTGAACAACCCATTCATCTTTTCCTCCTATATTTCATAGTTAAAATCACTGTCAACAGTTTCCCAAGCCAGAAACCCAGGATTCATCCTTGACCCTCCTTCCTATTCATTCTACTCTGGTATGCAATCAGTCACTGAATTTGCAGTACCTCTTTCATCATTTTCTAATTCATCCTCTCCGTGTCTACTGCCTTAGGCTTGCCTCACTATTGGTTCAGTTTAGTGTAATAGCATCCTTAACTGATGTTCCTGCTGCCAGGTGGCCCCCATCCAATCTGTTCTCAGCAAAACTCCAGACTGATCCTCTCGAATGCAAATCACTTGCTGCTTAACCTTCTTGTCGCTTTCAGGTAGAGTTCAAGCCCTTTAGCTTGGGACCAGATATTCTTCGCAATCTGGTTCCTCCTAGTCTCTCTAGCCTTGTCTTCTGCCACGCCTTGACATTAGCCATTCATGTCAGTATACTTATTGGTCCCCATCATGCTGCTTATATTTCCACAAATTTTGACATTCAAGTCACTCTGCCTGGAATAGTGCTGTGAGATCCCCAAACAAACATTTTCCCAGTGGATTTATTGAGACTTGATGATTAACTTTCAAATTCTGGTAAACTAGATCTTGAAGTAATAAAACTAAATTATAAATGCTCTGATATCTAAACTGTACCTAAAATTGCCCACACAACAAAGTACATAAGAATAATATTCTTGGCTGGGCACGGTGGCTTACGCCTGTAATCCCAGCACTTTGGGAGGCCGAGGTGGGTGGATCACCTGAGATCAGGAGTTCAACACCAGCCTGGCCAACATGGTGAAACCCCGTCTCTACTAAAAAACCAAAAATTAGCTGGGCATGGTGGCATGTGCCTGTAATCCCAGCTACCCAGGAGGCTGAGGCAGGAGAATCGCTGGAACCCGGGAAGCAGAGGCTGCAGTGAGCCGAGATCTTGCCACTGCACTCCAGCCTGGGCAACAGAGCAAGGCTCCATCTCAAAAAAAAAATTCAATCAACAAAAACCAAAAAACTATTCTGTCCAAAGTAGATACTAAGTAAATGCTCATTAAATCTCTTAAAAATCCAATCTCTGGAAAGAAGTGCATCCTGAAATGGTTTTAGGCCTCCAAAAAACTTCTCGATGTAAAGAATAAAGTGGTAAAGCAAACTGAGACAAAGAATTTTAAACAAGAAGAGGTCAAGGATAATGGGTTCTGTCTACCTGTTGTTTTTTCTCCTAGTAGGTACTCTCCAACTGCATTGCAGGGGCCAGGACCCTATCTTATGCCATAGCACATCTGCCTCTGAGCAAAGGCTGAGCTTTGGATTCCAAAGTCTTTGAGTGACGCTAGAGAACAAAGTACATAGGATGGCCACAAAAACTGAAATATCCAGTAGGTGACTTTTCACTGTAACCTTTCTTTCTTCTATCTTCCACTCCTTTCACACAAATATAATTTAAAACTCACACACATCTTAAATACAATACATATTATGCACAGTTTTTCAATTCCCAAATAAAATTAGTACACTTTTTTCAAAAGTTGAGAACAGTGTAGCAATGTAAAAAATGTTTAAAATATAAAATTTAGTGAAAAAGAAAGGCAAAATGTACATAACTATGTAAAAATGTACACAGCTGAGCAAGACTGACACAGAACAAAAAAATGAACTATTGATGTGTTAAGACAGAGTTTCTCAACCTTGGCACTACTGACATTCTGAGCTGTTGTGGAGGCAGTTCTGTGTATAATAGGATATGGAGCAGCATCCCTGGTCTCTACCAACTAGATGCCGGTAGCATATCCCTAGCTGTGACAACTAAAAATGTTTACATACATTGCCAAATGTCTCACATTTGGCAGAACCCCACCCTGCTCCCCAGGTTTAAAACTGTGCTAGAGGCCGGGTGCCGTGGCTCATGCCTGTAATCCCAGCACTTTGGGAGGCTGAGGCAGGCAGATCACCTGGGGTTGGGAGTTCGAGACTCAGCCTGACCAACGTGGAGAAACCCTGTCTCTATTAAAAATACAAAATTGGCAGGGTGTGGTGGCCCATGCCTATAATCCCAGCTACTCAGGAGGCTGAGGCAGGAGAATCACTTGAACCCGGGAGGCAGAGGTTGCAGTGAGCTGAGATCGCGCCATTGCACTCCAGCCTGGGCAACAAGAGTGAAACTCCATCTCAAAACAAAACAAAACAAACAAAACAAAAACAAAAAACTGTGCTAGAATGACAGGAATTTATTTTTTTGAGACAGGGTCTCACTCTGTAGCCCAGGTTGGAGTGCAGTGGTGTGATCATAGCTCACTGCAGCCTCAACCTCCCAGGCTCAAGTGATCCTCCCACCTCAGCCTCCAGAGTAGCCAGGACTACAGGAGTGCTCCACCATGCCTGGCTAATTTTTTGCATTTTTTGTAGAGTCAGGTTTTTGCCATGTTTGCCTAGGTTAAATATTTTTTTAAATTTATGCCTTGCTATTCAATAAATACATATTAGAAGAGGAAAGGAAAGGAAAGGAAAGCCCCTTGCAATATAGCATCTAACATACTCTTTTTTCAAGAGTTAGGGTTTATCCAGTTCCAATTTAATGTGCAAGATTGAAAAGGCTGCAGAACTTGTTTTTGTTTTCCTATGTGTTCTAGAGGAGAAAGCTGAATTTCTCAATATTTAAAAACTTGACCTGGCTCTAAGCATGAGACATCACAAACAACTGCTTCGATTGGACTGAGAAATCAAAATATCCAAATCATCGTAGCCCCAAACAGCTGTTTAAAATGTATATGTTCTGTATATCCTCAAAATAGGTTTACTTTTAAACCTGAATACTGAAGAAGAAATAGTAAGATTCAACAAGGAATGCATATTGTAAGACAAATTAAGGCAAGTTTTCCAAGCAAAAATAAAATTGCACTGGATCTAAGTTAATCTTATGCCATATTTAAGGCCCTCTGTTCCAGTCTTTTTAGAACTATTGTGTCTGCTCCCTTGCCAAAAATATTTACTTTCAATCACTCTTTATTGTTTTTGTTTCTTGGCTTACATCACAAAGAATGTTTTCTGATTCAGAAATTGTCAGGAAAAGAGGATATAAGTACTGTTTCAATTACCTCCTCTCCGGAAAATTACATAATATCCCCAATGTTGGGTTCGTACGGGCTTAAAGTTGAAATCCTATCTTACATGATCATTTTGAATGCCCTTTTCACATTGATAAACACATCAATAAAATTTAATTAAACAAGGAACAACCTTCTTTCATTATATAAGCCTGAAATGGGTCCAATACTGCAATTTTGATTTTTTTCCCATTTTCAAAACACACTAGGCCTGCAGTATTTAATGTTTATATTTACCAATGTGCACTTCTCCTAGTCTCTAGTTTACCCAAGACTGAAAGGTTGCCATAATGCAAAGAAAAAAAAAATCTTCCCAATGACTGCAGAGCTGGAGAATGCGAAATACTTAGGTACACAAAGCATTGCAGCAGGAATGCAGAAGGAGGTGGTCTATAGATGACAGAGGTGGTGGAGACAAATGGACATTCAATAATGTGCAGCGTTAACAGGGAAAGGTTAAAATGGCTGTGAAATAAGCAGGATGAGAAGAAACTGGTGCTTGGAGTCATGAGTGAAGTGGAAAAAGTTGTAGCTTGAAAGGCAGAAGGTAACTGACTTCATGACCTCTGATGCTGAGGATACAAAAGGCCTCCAAATCTTCATTGGGATTCAAGGTTCTGTATGACGAACATCGACCAAAAACAAAAACAAAAACAAAAACAAAAAACAAAAAAAACAGAACACGGTAGTTCTTTGTTCGCGGGCCTACACGCAAGGGAAAGCTGCGCCTCCGTGGACTTCATAGTGGCCTGGACCTTCGGGCGCTGTCTGTCCAGGGACGCGTCTCGACACCTCACCTTTAAGTGAGAAAAGGAACGCCGACCTACCTCGCTGAGGATGTTCTAAGCCCGCTCTAATAATAGGCGGCAGCCTAATACTAAATGCTTGTGGCAGCTGGGTCCGGGAAAACGGGCTAATTCTCCTTCAGGCGGAATCACTGCAGCCAGGGGCTAGAAAGGCCGGGCCAGGAGGATTTCCCCTCCTGTAGTTTCGGGCCATGCTGGGGAGAAGCAGAAAAGGCCCGGAATGCGGAAAAGAGGGGAGAATGGGTGCTTTCCTCCTTAGGGCTGAGGCAGGAACCTCAGGAACCAAGTCGGAAATTTTCCTGCGGAGGGTGCCGCGAGGGTCCCGGGGTCGCTCGGCCCCTAGGCGCCCAGCTGTTAGCGGCAGGTGCAGAAGGAGACCTGGGCGTCATAGCAACCGCGCTCGCCGCAGAGACGCAAAGGGATCCTTCCGGCGGGAACCATAGAGACGACGCACGCCAATGGCGCCAGAGACTGTGCTTCTTGTGGAGACTATTATTATAGCTCATACCATTGGCCTTCGGGTCGGGGGCGGAGTTGTCCCGGCCGTATCGATAGTACAATTCATTCCATTGGCTTTGGAGACAACTGTAACCATGGTAACGGCATGTCGCGCGTTTGCGACTTACGGAATATTTTTTGTCTTGGGGCGTTCTAGTTCTCAAAGAGCTTCCCGCCAGTCCTCAACTACAGCCCGTGCCTACTAAACTTGGATTTATTTTTCTATAAGTTCCTTCATTCTTAAAGGGGCAGGGAGTGCTAGCTCAAGAGCTCTGAATTTTAGGCCTAAATCGTGTCACTAGCCACGTGGGGCACGCAAGATAAATCACAATTTTTGGAGCGAGCTTATTATTGTAAAAAGGAAGACACTGGGCTTGACTAGAATTATCCCTAAGGCTGAAGCCCTTTAGAAGTCCTAAGCACTGAAAATTCAGGTAAGGTGAACCTTATCTCCCCCACCTATGTAATGCAAAATAAAAACTTATAAATGACACAAAATTTAACATACTCAATTGATACCATCTTTTTAGATGCCCTTATAGCAGAATTCAAGTTAACTATCAAAACTCGATTTTACTCATGTTTTGGGGGCCCTTGCTTTGCTGGTATCCCAAACACAACATTTCTTGGTCTTAACTCTAGTTCCCCAAGAGGATACTTTCCAAATCTTTGCTGGTTCTACATGCATTATCTGGACGTATCTTACTCTTTATATAATAAAGTGCCTCAACCTCTCCTTCTGGCACTAGACCTCTTGCAAGTGTTTTTTTCTGAACTAAAATGCTCACCACCAGCACTTGTAGCCCACTTCACTCCTGTTTATCAGTTTAAGTATCACCTACTCAGGGAGACATTCCTTGATCCTCCATCCAAGATCAGGTTCTTTCTTACCCTCATTGACTCATGTTCCTTTTCTTTATACACTTCCATTTGCTGTTAAAACACACACACACACACACACACACACTTTCTCTCTCTCTCTCTTTCCCACCCCCCTGGAATTTTTACTTGTGTAAATATCTTTTTAAGTGCTCTGAATATAAATTAAACTGAAGTGGAAAACACTAAATAATTTCATGTAGAACACTGATTGTTTTTAAGCGTTAACAAGGCAGGATATAAAATGATTCCCAAGGGAGGTAATAATTATGGTAAAGACAAACATTAAGATCACTTCTACTTTTAACCCCACATATGCCCGTTGTACATTCAAAGATGATGACAGTCATCATCCACATGAAGCTATGAATGCAGAGAAGAACATATTCTACTACTTGCCCTTCAGTACTGCAGCCACTGACAGAGCCCACTGCTTTTGGGGTTTTGCAAATTGGACCTGAAGTTCACTTAAAATCGTTGTCAAAGGAGCCTGGGTAACATAATAAGACCTTGTCTCGATGAAAAATAAAATATTTAGACGGGCATGGTGGCACACGCCTGTAGTCTCAGCTGCTCAGAAGGCTGTGGCAGGAGTGCTTGAGTCCAGGAATTCAAGATTACACTGAACTATGATTGGACCATTGCACTCCAACCTGGGTGACAAAGCAAGACCTTGTCTCTAAGAAAAAAAAAGTTTGTTCAAAGGGACTGCTGCTTCCAGAACAGTCTTGACTGCTGCAGTTATTTTTCTTCTGTTCAAGGTCACACTTCCTGATTAATGAAGTATTTTCAGCCTTAGAATTTCTGTCAAATCTTCTCAATTAAATTTATTGTACTTCTATTATCAGACAGACACAGGGGCTACCCTTCCCTACTCCGTGAAACACCATGAATTGTATTTTAAGTCAAATATTTATGTGAAACACAGTACCTGCTTCTACCTTAGTCATTAATGCTAATTTTTCAAATTGTACCCTGGACTATCCTACAGATCATTTAGGGAATTTTTTTGCACTATGCTACTTGTGCACTCCCAACCCAAAACCCAGGACAGCAAGAGATGTATTCAAAGTTTTTCAGAGATTCTCAAGGATTCAAAGATTAAGCAGGGCACTGGTGTAACACTGCTTTGCTAAGTGAGAAAAACAATAATTGCAACCATTTAGTGAGTGTCAATCAAGTGCTAGGCACCAGACTGATGCTTTTTGTTTGCTATTTCATTTAATCCTCACAATAAATGGCATTACTTTGCAGAGAGATTATCCCCATTTTATGCATGTGGACACTGAGATTAAGTCAAATGCCTAAGTTTATAAAGCTAATAGGTGGCACGGCTGGCTAAGTTGACTCCTAGCCCATACTCTACCACACTGTAATGCCTCCCTCAGGACAGAGATCACCAAGTGGCCCCTGCCTGGTCCCAGGTGGAAGGACATATTAAGTTAACCTGAAAAGCAGCCCTAAAATACTTGAAATGTAAACTGTTACCCTAACATGAGGTACATCTACAATAAGAAGCAAAAAGTAAATGCAGTGAAAAGCTCATCATTCTACAATCTATCTTCAGGGAGGTATCCTTCTTTCCTACTCCTATGTTTGATAAATTTCAAACAAAACAAAACATCCTTTCCATTGGGTCAACTTTTGGACACACACTTTATTGCACTTAATTTTTTATACATCCATTTCCTAAACAAGACATGTTTATTCATCTTTTTAATCCTCATGGCTCAGCACAGGGCCTGACATACATAGGCATTCAACCAATATTTGATCACCAAAGCATGACCATTCATGCATCCATAATCCTCTTTTTATAGTATAAAGATGGCTGATATTCAGGCCCCCATGTATATTTTAAGGAATATGTAATTCCCAATAAGCTCTTCTTTTTTAAAGGTGAGAAACAGTTCTAGTGTTCAATTTCAAAATCAAAATAACATTCAGGTGAGTGTATCAGGTGTCATTAAAAGACAAAATACCAAACCATATTTGCCTGCACACCACTGCCTTTTCCCTTTCTTTCATTTTCTCTGTCCATATGAAAGCCACGGTTTTATTATAGTTTTCACCATCTCTAAGAGCCCTGAACAATTTTTGATCCTGTAAGGGCTTTTTACTTCAGTTTTTGTCACCTATAAAAGCTGTGTGTCGAGACTGAAGATTATCCACTATCTTCTCTTCTATCTCTATGCCTTTTTCTCTTTCTTCCTCTGATAGCAATAACTTGGTTTCTGAGTCTTTAGTTACAATAAACACAAAGGACTGTCGTGACTCAAGGATATTAGCCACCACCACTTGATGCTGATAAACTTCCAAAGCCTTCCGAGCTCGATTAATTACAATGGCAGGGTCAGTCTCCAACTTAAAGGAAATTATAAATGCTTTGGGAGCCCAATCTTTAACCAAAGGAGAAAGCAGTTTTGGCACCATCTTCATTGTTATCTGTATTGGAAAAAGAAAAGCTTAATAAGCAAACAATGGCCATTATCTACCAGGTCAATCTCATGGGAAACTATGGAAACTAAGGAATCAAATTTAAGTGGGATTTCTCAACTATCAAACTTTTCAATTAAATGCTTAGTTTAAAAAGCCTTAGGGGAACACAGTGGTGTGGCCTGTAATCCCAGCACTTTGGAAGGCCAAGGTGGGTGCATCGCTTGAGCCCAGTTCAAGACCAGCCTGGGCAACATGGCAAAACCAGGTCTCTACAAAAAAAAAATACAAAAATTAGCCAATCATGGTGGCACCCACCTGTAGTCCCAGCTACTCAGGAGGCTGAGATGGGAGGATTACTTGAGCCTGGGAGGTTGAGGATGCAGTGAGCTGTATTCGTGCCACTGCACTTCAGCCTGGGCAACAGAGCGAGACCTTGTCTCAAAAAAAAAAAAAAAAAAAGCCTTGGTTCTGTAGAGTTCACAGGGATGCCTAAATTCAAGGCTCCATACACATTCTGGGGCAAACCATGTCTTCTGAATAAGCTCTGCCCTGCTCTGCCACCCTTACCACCATTTTTGAGGGTTTGAACCAAACTCTCAACTAAACAGATACAAAGAATCTGTTCATACAAATGTTTGGCAGAAGCTGAAATAAAGTTGGGTTTTTAAACCTCTCAGCCTAAATATTTCTTGCATTGGTAGAATGGCTCTTAGATTCCATTTTAAAATGGTCACTTGTAACACAACTTAGCAGTGAGGAAACTGATTTTATTTTCACTTGACCAAAACTCCTAGTACCTCATCCCCACTCCCTTCTCAGGGTAATGTTCTGTTGCTTTGTTACTTTCAAGATAGAACTAAAAACTATGAGATAAACTAAAGATCCCAGAGATTTAAAAGTGTGAAATCACTAAGCTAATCATCAGAATTTCCCCTAAAAAAAAGCTGTTAGTGTGATAGGGATCATATACCTGTTTATTTATACTTTATTTTTCTCCTTAGCATTTATCACTACCAAATGAGGTATGTATTTGACTTAATTTATTGTCTCCTCTGCAGAGGAAGAAACACAAGGGCAGGGTATGTTTCTTTTCACTGCTTTCATCTCCAGGTCCTACAGCAGTGTAGGACCTCAATCAACTATTCTACAAAGTCGGCAAATGCTCCACAGATAAGAGTTTCTCCTAATAAAATCCTACCTGTATCACCCAATAAATGACTAAGAACTCCCGAAGGTTCCAAGAAGTCAGATCATCTAAAATCACAACCTACCTTATCCATATTTCTTCCTTAATCTACAATAGCCCCCAACTATCTACCCACTCCGCTTTCTCCCTCTCTAGCTTCATCTTTCATACTGATGCCAGAATGTTGTTCTCAAACAAAAACTTTATCTCATTCTCCTACTTATGTGTCCCTTAGCGCCACAAGAAAAAGTCCAAGCTCCTTAAAAAAGGAAAACAAAGTCTTCTACAAAGCAAGCCATCTCTTCAGCCAGCTCTCCAGCCTTACCAAAGCACTTCGGTTCACAGCCCACTGCCCACTTCCAAATTCCAAGTGCCATACTCCACTTGGAATGACCTTTCCCACTTCGTACACCCTCTGCTCATTTTGTTTTGTTCTTTGTTTTTTTGAGACAGAGTCTCGCTCTCGTCGCCCAGGCTGGAGTGCAATGG